AGGTGGAGGAGGAGGAGGAGGAGGAGGAGGAGGTAGTCCTACAAAGAAGAACCTAAACGAGGGACTTGATGAGAACATAGATCAAAGAAAAGCAAGGCAAAGAAAGATTGAAGCAAGATTCCATAAAGATTTCTTAACCTTTCTCCTACTCAACTGCAAATGTATCTGTCCTTTATTCTTCTGCTTTGACAGCAACCAAAAACCAGTTTTACACGTTCTTGGTCCTATCACGTTGTTCCTTTTTGGAGAAACATGAGAGCGATGATGTGAATCTATATTTTTCATGAGTGGCTATGGGGACAAGGAAGGGGAGAGAAAGAGAGTCCCACAAAAGAAGAGACCAAACGATAGAACTTTAGCAGAACTCTTCTTTCTCTTCTTCCTTTGGTCTCCTAGCCTCTCATGGGAGCAGATCCAAAAGAAAAAGCTACAAGGTATAATAGAGAGGACAGATGGTAATATTTTGCACGAGTGGCTATGGGGATAGAGGAGGAGGAAGAGGGAGTCCTACAAAGAAGAACCCAAACGAGGGACTTTAACAACCTCCGCTATCTCCTAGCCTCTCATGGGAGGAGATCAAAAGAAAAAATTGCAGAGATGAGTTTTAAGTTAAGGGTTTGTAGGTATATGTATAATTTTCTTTTTTATTAATTGATTAACATGTAAGTAATTTAAATTTTTTATTTTTATTTAAGATTAAAATAGAAAAAAAAAAATTACCCACAAACCCAGGCCACCTCACGGGAGGATCAGTTGCTTCTTTAGTCAAGTACCTGAATCTATCAGGCATTGTACTCTCTCCTCTCCCCAGTCTCTCTGTTTCATCAATCTTATCCCCAGTTCCATTGTCGGTTTCTCCTCTCTTCGAATTCAAACAAAAGTGAGATTTCCTATCCCTCAAAATCACACAGCTGATTGACAGACCTTTGTCCCACGACCACCTGCTCCAACTCCATGGTTTGGTGGTGTTGCAACAAGTGATGGTCGTGCAACCAGGCCTTGGCATAGACTGATCGCATGACAATCAGGCCACGATACCTGATTATTTGGCCAAGGCCAGATAAATTTCGCCGCTCATGCTCTGCTACTCCGCAACTCAACCAGTACACATCCCCTTCAGCTCCGCCACCAAGTCCAAACCTCGGTCGCGTTGTCACTGATCCGACCGCTATTCCTTCTCTTGTTCTGAATCTTCAGGTACGATGTATTCATTACCTAGGGTTGAGCGATTCTTACTTAGAGAGTTTCTGGCATTTTGGTTTTCCTTTCAATTTAATCTTGCGTTGAATGATATTTGGAATTGGGAATTTCTTCTGATTCAGTTATCAATACAAGAGATTTATCATGTGGTCAACTCTATGTTGAGTGATTTGGTGAGTGATTGAGAAGTATCGTTTCTATGATTGAGTGGCGATTTTCATCAGTAAACTGCTTGTAAATTTTTGTACAAATTTTTTACGAACAACTTTATATCTTTAGTAATTTATTAAATTGTATAAGAATCCCGACTCTGCTATGCACCAGATAGGAAACAACTTTTGTACATTTGATTTTCAATCCAGACTCTGCTATGCATCAGACAGGAAAGAACTTTTTTACATTAGATTTTCAATCCACCTTGAACAAGTTACTTACTGTTCTTGCTATTTTACTGAAGGGTGTTTTATTTATTTTTGCTTCCATTCTTTTCTATAGAAAGAATTGTGCTTTCAAGGAAATCAAAATCCATTTTCATCCCTTTACTATTGTTTCATAATCTGGTCTGTGCAGATTCTTTTGGAATTTCTATTCTTTTTTCCTTGTGTTTGAACCATTTTCCAAATATGAAGATGTTATAATCGAAGTCTTTAGAAGGTTTTACCATATATTTTTTTTGATGTTTTCTAAATTAAAACTAATCTGACCCATTCTTAGTTCTCTGCTTTGGCGGTGGTGAAGTTCTCTCTCCTTCGATGCATGTAGTTGTGTTACACACACACACAGCCCTAACATATTGGAATCAATTGTTTACATAGTTTAGCACGGAACAGCCTTGATTATAAGCTGTTATGTATCCAGTCCCGGGTGTTAATATACAAGCTCAAGAGTAGCTAGGAAAGTTATACCACTTAGTTTTTACTAGTCACTATAGATAATTTGATAAAAACTTTAGTGTCTCTCCTCCATGTCACCAGCTCTAGAGTGAAAAACCTCACGGGGCTGGAGTTTAATAATTGCAACACATTTCTTTTGATGCAAGCACTTTGAAGAATATCCATGAACTTTGAATAGTATACGTGCCGTTACAATTTGTACATACACAGATGCACTTAGCTGTAGTTTTCATTTTTGGTTAACCCACACGGAAGACTATCAAAGATATTACTGATTGAGAGTTCTGAAATTTTGTCAATAAGTTCAAAAAATTTCTTCCTCCGGTTAAAACGAGGGTGTGGTTGTATTGGAATTAGGGATTACCTTTTATGATTTTTGTTGGTATGTGGCAGAAAGTTAGCTTTCCTTTTTTCATTACAAAGTTGTGGCTGATCCAAGCAGATAAAGTTCACATTTTGTACAGGTCAGTGGTGATAACAAATTCACAGTAGGTATATCCAAATTGTAAGTGAAAAAGAAAAAATGAGTGGAGCTGGAGAGAAAGGGTCAGCAAATACAAGGACACCAGCGGACTTCCTCAAATCGATTCGTGGGTGACTAGTTGTTGTCAAACTGAATTCTGATGTTGATTATCGAGGTTAGTCTCTTTATCTGTTTCTCTTGTCTCGTTTTGTTCTTCACATCTCATATCTCTGTCGATCATCACCAATTTTCTTTTTTCCTTTTAAAATGTCATTTTTCTGCGAGTTCAGACTTCCCATCCTATATGCATAGGATGATTGACAGTTCAAAATAATGCTGTTTCTTTTTTGCAGATTTTCTAGCCTCTGTTGTTTAAATGTAATTACATGTGTAGCTCATGAGCTTATGTTGAAATCCAAGGGTATAAATCCCAGATCATCGGATGTGATTAAAATTGCTATGGCTTTTAGCTTCGCATCACTATGAAAGCTTTATTGCCTTTTAGATGTGTAGAACTAACTCTTCAAAGCATGATGGTACTTTGCTTATTTGATTAATTTCTCTAAGCCAAAAGGATTTTTCTTGCTCTTTTTTTATGCACAAGGGAGGTAGAGAGAAAATCACCATAATCATTTTCAGGATCAAAATTAATGCTGTGCGGATGTGTATAGTTATAATCATATCTTAAACATCATGGTTCTTAATTTCACGATCACTAATTCGTATTGTTGGTGATGCACTGCATCAAAATTTTGGCACAAAAACTATGAATTATGGTTATAGGTTTTTTATATAGGAGTTTTCTGAGGTGTAATCCCAGTTATATGATTCCTGGACCGCAATGACAAAATGTGGTGAATTTTAACCGGTGAACTGTTGTTTTCTCACGAGTCTTGGTTAATACAACAATATTAATCTCTGATGAGGAATTTTGATGTAATATTAAACACCTAATTTCTTGGTTAATCTCACTCAATATAGATTATCAAATACCCATACGCAGATGGTTTTGCTTATACGGTTGTAAATGGTTTTTCCTTCAGTATCTTCAATTGTGAATTCGGGAATACAAAAACTGGTTTTACCATCTGTCACTCATCGGTGCAGGTACCCTGGCATGTCTGGACGGGTATATGAATATAGCAATGGAGTAAACAGAAGAACATGCGAATGGGCAGTTGAAAAATAAATAAAGTGATGCTTTTACTCGCGGTAACAATGGTATCGACTACACCTCCCTCCGGGTTCCTCTCAGTTGGTTGTAGTTCATCTTTGCACTGTTGATTAATCAGAAATTAATTGCTTTACTTGCAGTTCTTTTTATCAGCACATCAAAGATGAGTTTAGCAGAGGCTCCCTCCCTTTCAATCATTGCAGATCGGGAGGAAATTACAAAGTAGAGGCTGCAGGATATTTTTCATGTAGAGGAAATCTGAGAGTGATTATCTATGGTAGCTCACCGCTAACATTGAAGATATATATATATATATGTGTGTGAGTATATAATATACGTTTTGAACCACTTTGAGAAGGTACCTCAAAGATCCACGGCAGCATATAGGTTAGCATGATTTTTTTCTCAGTGTAGATATATACATCAATTCATATATTAGTTGTTAATCCATACCCATATGCAGATGGTTTGCTTATACTGTTATACTCTTTATTATACTGATATATGTAGCTTATATGAAAATTGTATTGATTTATCAGTTTCTCTTTGTAAATGGGTTTTCCTTCAGTATCTTCAAGTGTGAATTCAGGAGTACTAACTCTGCTTTTACCATTTGTCATTCATCAGTGCAGATATCCCGGCATGTCTGGACGGGCATACGAATATAAGCAAACCATAACTAAACATAGATATGAATGTAAAGGAACGAAGATGATGAGGAACGAGGAATCATGAGATTTTGCAGGGCACCATTGATGGTGCATTGAAGAAACTAACAATTACTGCAACAGACGGTAATTGAAGTCAAATTATGACACTGTAAATTTGATCGTGCAAAACGATAAGAACGATAGAAATGTTTCAGCCAAATTAACTTTTTACTGTGTCAGATTTCGTATGTTATATAAATTTATTTATTTTGGTTTCAATTTTTCACTGTAAAACCCAGTAATATTAATAAATTCATTTTAAAACTTAATAATTTAAGTTGATATTTCAGTATTCTAAGACAAATATATATATATATATATATATATATAGATAGGTATATACACACACACACACACAGAGTTACATATAAGGTTAAAGAACTGGATAAATAATATAGCAAAATGAAGTAGAGTTGTTCATAGATGCAGAAGGGTTACATGCAGTAGTTTCGACTGATCTACAAATTACACTAATTAATATGTTAAAAAAAATGCCTCCACATTCTCTATTATTAATTAAATCACATTAATTAAGCATTAATTAAGAGAATTAAGACAGGCTGCCTTCTAATTACTATTAATTAATTAATTAAAATTAATTTCAGCAGAATGTTTTCTGGATTTGTTGAGCGAGTTCCTCAGCACTGAGTTGACATTCAATTCCAATCTACGAACACCAAAAAAATAAAAAAATAAATTATTAAATTAATCTCGAAAATTTAACATTTGTTATAATTTAATGCGTAATATTTTAAAAAAATAAAATAAAATACATAAGACATGTTTGGATAGTTTTAAAAATAATTATTAATATTAATATATTGATTTAATTAATTAATTAATTAAAGTTTTATTTATAGAAGAGGGTCGTGGTTTCCAAGGGGACATGCAGTAAACTTATAGCAGACAGACAAGAGATAATACGAAGAAAAAATTATTATAAGCTTAATTTTACATAATTATTTTTATAGTAAAGTCGAATACTTTATTATAAAAAGTATAATTTGAATGTTAGACCAAGGGACAAAAGTTCAGTGTGTATCAGGATAATTAATGAAGAAATTAAAATGAACGTAATTAATGTGCTCCTTCGAGGAAAACTAAACATGCATACATCTAATTGTATGAACTCGCGTATATACACATATAGTTGTATTTGTACGTACATATATATATATCCCTTATTTTGAAATTTATTAGATATAATATAATTTATATACTGTTTTTCTTCTGTATACATACATATTTATACATATTATATGGCCAAAAGCTGGGAACTTATATCCTGTATATTCATATGATTATTTGAATACTATCCGTGTATATATGCATGATGATAATTATTAATTAGCTTAATCATTCTGGCTACGATTAATTAATCATTACCAAGGGAGAAAAAATGAGCTTTTGCATGTATATATATTCGTACAAACTTATATATATATATATATATATATATAGATTTATAATTTAAGAACTGGTAAGGGTCGCGTACCTTAATGGTGAAGGAATTAAGCATGGTTTCATCAACGGTATTTATGTTGACATGAAGAATTTCAAGCGCCAGTTCCTCCAGAGCCGCCATGATCTTCGCAGCCTGACCCGGAATCCGACCCGAAACAGTCTTCAACACCAAATTAGGACCGGAGAACTTAACCTCGACGTCCGCCAAGGCTGACTTGGAGTTGGCGACGAGCTCTTTGCCGCCGTCGACGGAGCAGCCGGAGGTGGAAGAAGAAGAAGGAGAAGGGTCGAGCTGCATGCCGGTCGGAGAAGACAAGTAGGGTTGGTTGTGCAACCTGGGTGGTTTGTAGGGGCTGTTTGGCTGCGGAGTTCTAGGGCTAATCGGGAGGTTTATTCTGGGACTCAGCGGTGGCTTTCTAGGGCTTAGTGGTGAGGGTCTGGGACTGGAGACGACGGGAACCCTAGGGCTTAGAACTTCGCTGTAAGCTTTTCTTTGTTTCTTAGCTTCCAGGGACTGTAGAACTTGCTGTAATTCGTTGATGTAGTCGATCACTCCGCTTATGATGGAAGCTTGGTCTCCCTTCAGCCATAACCAAAAAATAAAAATCAGTTCATCTATATCTATATATATATATGTGTGTGTGTGTATACATTCTCGCACATGAAAGATCAATTAGGGTTTTATCCGGTGTGTTCTGTTATGTTATAATTGTTGTCTTTGTATAACAGTTCATAAATGGGTAAATCAAGTAATCAAGTACCATGAATCTTGAAATATATATAATATATGTATGCGCGTGTGTGTATGTATATATGTATATATATGAGATGGGTACCCTTTTGACGTAGAAGCAAGGCATTAAGGACCTCAAAACCGATAAATGGTCATTCATTTGCTTTCTCCGGTTCCTTTCCACCGTGATATGGGACATTCTCTGTGGCTCATCTTGATTCCGACCTTCTTGATCTTGCTGACTGGAACTCGCTACCTTTGCTCGCTTGCTCTTAGGCGAGTTGCAGCAGGGTTCAAACTCAGTCTCTGGATAGTCATGAACTAACGTAGTAGACGACGTGGATTTCTGAGAGACCAATCTCCTCGTCGTCGCCTCTTCACCGGCGCCGCCACCTCCAGCAGAAGCGGAGGTTTCATCAAGCGGCGTCAACGGAGGAAAATCTGCAACATTGTCCAAACTCTCAAGGAGAGCGAACAAGTCGTCTCCTACCAAGCTGAGAGCATCCCCGAATTCTCGGTTGTCGTCAAAAAGATCTGATAAACTCTGACTCATTATTAAAAACCGACCAAACCGCAGTGAGAGAGAGAAAGTACTGAGTTAACTCAGTGATGAAGAAGAAGAAGAAGAAGAAGAAGAAGAAGAGGGAACAGATGAAGCAGGCCCAGATAGATATAAATGACAAGAGATTGTCAAGATCAAGAAAACGATTTTGAAAAAAGATTAAACAAATAAAATTACATACGTGAAAGGGACTAAACTATCGCAATCGGGGTAAAGGTGAGTTGAGCTGGGTGTTCTTTTTGGTGGGAGAGACGAGTGAGTTGCGGGGAATCAGTGAGAGTTGAAGAGCAGATCAGTGCAGAATCCCAAGAAAAATGGAGAAGAAGACGAAGAAGTTGAGCATATGGGTTACTGTAGATGACAACTCCAGATGGTGAGAGAAAGACGATAGGCTGTGAAGAGAGGGAGATTTACACATGGGGAATTGGGAAGGAGACAGAAGAGGAAGCTGAAGAGGAGGTTTATAAAGGTAGTTGAGTTTATAAATATACGAATCAAATTTTTTTTTAAAACAAAATCGAAACAAGTGGGGAGACTTAAAATCGAATTGTTTCAAATTCAAGAAGTCGTCCATTTCAAATAACTAAATTGAAAAAGTATATTATGTATAATATATACGTGTATATATGTATATGTATATGTATATAAAGTTAGTAAAATGAACTACAATATTAATTGAATATGCTTCACATTTGTCTCTTCAACAGTTACTGCCTGGGGATAGCTACATACATATACATATATATATATATACATACATACATGTACATATGCATGCATGCAACCTTTTCTCTTTCTACTCTTGCTATTATTTATTTATTTATTTCGATCGGCATATGTATACATATGTATCTATATATATGCATGCAAGAAATATCCTTGATTAACTTTCTTAATAAATGTTTTTGCTTTTATATATGTGTACGCAGCCACCTTCGAATAAGCCTGTTATATATCATTAATTATACAGTGTAACGTATACATATTGAAATTAAGGGTATACGCAAATAAATATTCTATACTGCATGAGTAGATGGTTAGGTTAAAATTTATTAGTATGAATGTTGTACCATGTCCGCAGATGAGTGAGTGATTCCATGGCCTGTGTATGGGGACGGGCTAGGGTTCATCAATCTCCCCCAGATACCCAGATATCAATGAAGAAGATCAGCTGAATTTGTCGTCTTCTCCCAATTTTAATTGAATTTGAAATTCCATCTTCAATTCAAAAAAAAATCATATACAAACACCCACATATATATATATATATATATATACACACACTGTATGCACACACAGAATTAGGTAATTTAAAAGACAAATAACTATCAAGAATTTTTTGGGTTTTCCTCATCATATACAAACACCCACATATGTATATATATATATTGTATACACGCACAGAATTAGGTAATTTAAAAGACAAATAATTATCAAGAATTTTTTGGGTTTTCCTAATCATATACAAACACACACACATATGTATATATATACACATAGAATTAGGTAATTTAAAAGACAAATAATTATCAAGAATTTTTTGGGTTTTCCTAAAATATATATGTATATATTTATCAAAAAGACAAAACCAATATATACAGCGGGAAATATACACTTATATATAGATACAAGCTAATGTCGATATAATATATATATATATATATAAAAGTATTCTAAGTCGACGACTGAGTGAGTAATTATTAATTATTAATTAATCTACAGAGGAAGTCATGATTGTGTCAACATTTCTAGGTGATTAATCAGATTTTTTTCTGACGAGAGAAGGAGTTGCAGTAACTCTTAATAATTACTGAGTAGAACAAAGGAAAAGAATTAATTACTGCTGCGGTTAAAAGTAATTATTTGGAAATCTTTTTATGCAAACTGATCGAAAGAATGTTCCAAAAAAGAAAAAGGTATTCTCTGCTGCTCCATGTAGTAAATAGTAACTGCCCTTTGTGTGTTTGTATGTGTGTGTGTGTGTGTGTGTACATATATATATATATATATATATCTCACTATGGCACACATATACACATACAGAAGGAGGCCGCCAAAAGCATATATGTATATACGTACATATAAAGTTTTCAGATTTTTTTGAAGTTCTACCATTTCGACCTGTACATCTATATATCGCGCACAGTATGATATCAAATTTCTTTCAAAACCCAAATAAAAATAATATGCGATAATGGGTATCGGGAATGATATATTAGTTCGTAACAATTATATATGTTCTATAAAACCTCTCGCTATATAATTAGTAATATTTTTTTATTTTTACTATATGTGTATGTATATGAATATGTACATGTTTTGAAACGTAAATAATTGGTGGAAGAGGGAAGAGGGAAGAGGGTAAGTGTGAATATTAGTGCTGAGCCTGCAAGTTGTAGTATGTTTTATATACATGTTATGTATATGTATTTATATATGATGAGTTTCATGTTATAAAGATGGTGGGTTTTCAATGAAGACAGACACGGCATCTCCGTGCCCTAGCTACCGATCATCCAATGCCGATACATATATTCTAAAATATGTACATACGACTATACACACACATGTTTTAATATATACACTTGCATATATATAGTATGTATATGTACAGAATCAATTATTAGCTTTCAAAAAAGTATAGAATCAATTATTTATATCGTGATTATTTCTCTAGATACGACAATTGAAACGTAATTGTAATCACACACATATACGCACAGATAGACGTATACATATAGAGAGAGAGAGAGAGAGAGAGAGAGAGAGAGACCGAGTGATTATTAATAGAGAGAGAGAGAGAGAGGGAGGTGGGTCATGGTGGCAGGGAGAAAAGGAGGAGGAGTAATTGCGATTCAGCATGGGAGTGCGTTTCATTTAAGTTAAAAGCAGAAGCAGCAGCCTACCAATTTATTTACTTCCTCATACGCATCCAACTCTTCCATATCATCCATCAATTTTCACATTTACCCACCCCAACCACCCCTTCCCCACATGTATATACATATATATACACACACATACATACCCACATCATGTATATACATACCCAAATCAATGTTTTGCGTATTATCAACTAATTCTTACGTGCATGCAGTTTTTAAGTTTTTGATAATTAACTCTTTAACTTTAGTGATATATATATCTCTCTTTAATAATTATGCATATGTGTGTACAACTATATATATATATATATATTAAAGTCACAACACGAACCAATACTTGCTCTTTCTTTGACCAACTAACATTCTCTTAATTTGGTAAAAATAAACTCCAATATGTATTTTAGCAAATCAAACTTGGTTAAATGAAAACTGTGGTGTTATAACTTTAGCAATATATATATATATATATATATATAATAAGATTCGGTTTGATATTATAAATGTGAGATGCATGCATATGGTGATGTAGCCGACAAGTAGAGGTGGGAAGGTTGGGTTTTGTTCGGGTCCAGATTTAAACCCTAACTTGAAATCCTATGCAGGCAGGTTTTAACTGGTTAGGGTTTAAATAGTTCATTTTGTAGAAGACGTAGCAGGAAACGACATTGGTGGAACGTTCAAGCAATACGAATATAATTATATCCTCCACCAGCTCTCCCACTTCCCCCCCCACCCTAGCCCCTCTTATATAAAAATATATATATGTATCTATATAACACACACACACACACACCATTATATATTATATAAATGTGGCATGATCGATGTTGTCAGGATTTTATCAAATCCGAGTAAATATCAGAAAAGTATTAATCTTTTTTTTGTCACCATTAACGGATATATATATATATATATATTTTATCTGATACAGTGTGTGTGTGTGTATATATGTATCATGCATCTTATAGTTATTACATTTTGATATATTTGTTATAAATATACAACTTTTTACATGACATTTATGGCCACCTACACATTATATGTGAAGAGAAAGAACGGAATAAGAGACAAATTTTAGAAACGAATTCTCGAAAGATTATATATATATACATATATATATATATATATATAAAGTTGACATAAATAATAATAATAATAATATCAATTAATAATCTGGGTCCTCCTCAACTTCACTCCCCCCATCTGAAACATCATTTACTAGCACCACGAAATATATGAGCAAGACATTACTCCACTTTTGCAACATCATTTTCCTTTTTTTTCTTTACATATATATATACACATATACATACGTATATATACATATATATATATATATACTCTCCGACGAGTGTAATACATTTCGGCCTGGCGAGCAAGTGGCTCAGGGGTCGAATTAATCGGAGACGCATCGAGAATTATGCTGTCGTGACCCGATGAATGTCGGATCTTCGATTTGTGACCCACCAAATTGATTGCAAAATTTAGATTTCCATGTCCCATATCGGATGTGGTGTTCCTATCTTCTCATATAATTACATATTTAAATTTTGTAAGTTAATTATTGTCCAATAAAAATTTTGTAAATTAAAATTTGAAATTACATATTTAATTTTTAAAAAAAAAATAATTATTAAATTAACTATTAATTTTTTTTATCTCATTTAAACATTTATAACGATTTTAATTAAAGAAAAAGTTTAAATTTTTAATTGATAAAATTGGTCAGTTAAATATTATTTAATGACTTATTAATTAAACAAAATGGGAAATTTTATTAAATAAAGTACCAATCTAATTTAATTAAATTTGGGCTTGTTAATTAATTAATTACCACGCAGTGTATATACATATATATATATATATATACGTGTGTATGTATAGTACAGCTAGTACAGGACTCATCAAAACACTGTACAAATTATTAATCACCTTGGTTCTTGTTTTCCTTCTTCAAAATTCGAAATAAATATCTATATATTCACACACACACACACACACACACATATATATATATATATATATATTTTGTGTGAATATATATACCCACATGTATCTAGTTCTAGAACAGGTAAACTTTATTAGAAAAATTAAGAAAAAAGATTATGGGTAAAGAGGATTTATCATGAAATTGATATATATATATATATATGTGTGTGTGTATATACATTATATATATGTAGATGTTTCTGTAGAGATTTCTCTGATTAATAGCTTGTGAATCTACTAACATACATACATACATATATATATATATATATAAGATTTCGAATATATGTAATGGGACCCAAGAGACTCTTTAAACGTTATTGGGTTACAGAACCCAACTTGCTTGTTTCATTTATTTTCTCATACCACACAGCTTAGAAAAATAATTAAAAAAATAATAAAATCAAACAGTAGAAATTTTTTAAAAAAATTTTGATAATATTTTACAAAATTATTTATTATTTACAGTACATATATATATATTATATTAAAATTGTCAGAAAAGTGTGGGTTGGTGAAATTTAAAAAACCCATATTTTTACCTCAGTAATTAATGAACTTTTTTAAAGAAAAACCCAGATTTTTATCTCAGTAATTAATGAATTTTTTGTAAGAAAAACCCAGATTTTTACCTCAGTAATTAATTAATTTTTTAAGAAAAACCCAGATTTTTATCTCAGTAATTAATTATTATTTTTTTTTAAAGAAAAACCCAGTTTTTTATCTCAGTAATTAATGAATTTTTTTAAGAAAAAGCCAGATTTTTACCTCAGTAATTAATGAATTTTTTTAAAGAAAACCCAGACTTTTATCTCAGTAATTAATGAATTTTTTTAAGAAAAAACCCAGATTTTTACCTCAGTAATTAATTATTTAAAAAAAAAAAAAAAGAAAAACCCAGTTAATTATAAAATTAAATAATATATTTTATTTGAAGCTTATCCTAACCTGGAGAATCCAACGCAAGAGAAATTTTAGGCATTAAACACTTCATTCATTTTTGTAATAAAGGCAGGGGGGCCCAATTCAAGGATCCTCAAAGCTTCACATTCATGGGACACCTCTCCAAAAAAATACAAATAAATTAATTATATTATTATTATTTGGTTTAAATTTTATAATGATTTTTAAATATACATATATATATATATACACACACAAGTGTAGGTAATATTTAATTATAAAATGAGGATTCAATTGAAATAAATTTGACAATGAACTCTCAAAAATCTTGGTTATGGTGCTCTCCCTCTCTATCAAACTAATGAGAAATTTTGAATTTCAATGGCAAATGTTTTATGAAAGCTACCCATCAAGAACATTTACATGGAAGAAAATAAATACTTTATATAGAAGTATATATATTATACTTTGCTTATTTCATAAATATGCAATACTAAAACAAACAAAATCTGAACTTCTTAAGCTTTGAGATCACAAACTTGAATACAAGAGTTGATTTGAGTAAGAACCAGGCATTAGAGCTGCAGAGAAGCTAATACTAGAGAAACTATATGCAGAGAACCTGTGACTACGATAATACCCGAGCCATCTCCCGTTCGTTTTCTAAGAATCTGATTTACCATTCTCATGGAAAACAGGGGAGAGTTTTCGGCAGCCAATATTATCGCGGGCGAAAGTTGATCTTTGGATAATTCTTGGTATTCAGCCATTTCGTCATGAAGAATATTGATGTCCAATTCTTTCGAGGCTCTGATCCAACAATCTCGTAACAAGGAAGGTGAAGTTGTTCGCGATTTGCCCCCAGCAATGTCAGCTTCCGTTAGGTAGACAGCTTCTAATTGCATGCCTGAAATAACACGAGTGTCCCAGTTAACATGCACTCTTAAAGAGAAATTCTAGGAATTTGTTTTGTATAAATTTATATACAAGACCATATATGATTAGCATATATTTTAACAGAAACAATTTGTAGAGAACATCTAAAGTTTTTTACTTTTTTTTTTTTGGGTTGAGTCAAATATTTTCATTACCATTTTCCAAATATTGTCTTGATTAGGTGTCCCCGAGAACAAAACAACGAAACCAAAAGAAGAAATAGAGAGAAGGACTAGCTATATCGCATCTAGTCTCAAAGTCTTTTGCTCATTTTCGGGTTTAACTAGAGTAGCAATCATTGACTAAACAAATGACAAAAATGCCTACGGAGTATACCTGAAAGAAGTTCTCTTGCAAAACCCAAATGATCCTTATCATTAGCCATTGCTACAACAAGAGCCAATGGTGTGTCTGGATATGTCATTTGTATCATGTCCATCAAAGCTTTAGCAGATTCTTTCGTGTGTGCTGAAAAACATACAGAAACCATCAGAACACTTCAGATTTCAGAAGGTCAATAAATCAACCCACTCCCAAACCATAGGAAATAAGGAAACAGGGCATAAATCAACCTCCATCAAGCAGTACTGTCGCTCCTGATAGTCCTAAAGCCTCAGCTTCCTTGGCTGATAAAAACTGGCTTCTCCCTAGCAAGTAAGTATTCTCTAAGCCAGCCCGAATTGATTCATCCGACAATCTCCATCCTGAAGAATCCGATAAAGGTCAAAACAGACGGTAAGATTCAATATACTACCCATTCACTGTACTTCTCATTTTGAGTTTTATATGACTAACTTTAAATTCTAAATTTCGCAGCAAATCTTAATGAAGGAGCACTTAGAGAGAACTATCGTGATTGTCAGAAGAGAAAAGGGACATTCCATGGTAATAAAAAAAGGCTAAGGTTCTGGAAAACATGAAGCAGGGAAAAGAAATAAACGAACAAGAACCAAAACTCTAAACAGAATTCCAATACATGCCTACATCTCACAAGAATCCTTCAACTGATTATAAACAAAATTAAGCCCCCACCTTGATCACGGAGGCAGAGTGCCACACATGCTGCAGTTACTGCATTCTGAAGTTGATGACGACCAAGCATGGATAGGTTTACATCAAATAACTCGGTAAACTGCACGAATTAGATTTGTTAACACGTACTAGAGAGTTTGAGAATTGGTAAGAATACCTAAACATGACCAACAAATTCGTAATAGTGCTTGAGAGTATGTAGTGCATACTCAAGAATATGAAAGCCTTTGTTCAAATGATGTTTGAGAAAATACCAGCTTAAAGTCGCCCTCTGCTTGAATCCTCATGTCACAAGACTGGCAAGGTCTACCTTTGTAAACAATGACTTCTTTCATTATACTCCCGATTCCAGTATCAGATGCAGATATGACGGGTGAAGACATCGACGAAGCTTTGTCACGTAGAATAGCCTCAATATGGGGAAGAAAGGGCCCACCTAGAACCAACTGAAATTCAAAATCACATAAGTGTCAATATTGTTGAATCAGGAACAACTATTTGATTGGTCAACTACACGCCACTCGAGGGGAGAATCACCTAACTGGGCGACCTTGTTTGATGATTCCAGACTTCGCCAATGCAATGCTTTTCAACGAACCACCTAGTGCTGCCAAGTGCTCTTCACCTATAGTTGTTATGACAGATGCAGCTAGTCCCGTATGGCTAATAATATTCGTAGCATCCCTCGAACCTCCTAACCCAGCCTGTTCAATTGGAAATGTGACTTAACACAGCCTTTGCCAGCTTTAGTTAGTGAAGAAAAGAACACTTGAGCACAAAACACTTATATGTAAACTTAGTATACATGCATGGTCTTATACAACAAAAGTTAAAACAATATAGAAGTTAAGAAAAAAAAAGTTCTTTACAGTGAAGATGGATAACCTCGACAACTGAAATGTCAACATTCTCTTTGGCAAATAAGGTGAACGCCATAGCTGTAAGAACCTGAACAATTTTCCATCAAAATGAAGAAAAGCAAAAGAAAAAAGAGGGATTTATAGCATAAAATTAAATATTTAGCAAAATAATAATGTAAATTTCAAGATCAAACCAGTAAACTAAGGATAATTCTCTTCAAGCATGAATTTGTCAAGATGAAGTTTCTGATAAGAAAATCTGAGGAACAAGTAAGAGAAAATAGATTTAATCTACATTACTCCGACTTCAATGCTGGTGTCCAGTCTGGGTATAGATCTAATCTAAGACTAAGAGTCGAGCTTGGGAACACTGACACACCAACACTTCTACTCCAAGAGTCTTCCCGATCATCTTCGTATTATCCAGATGCTAAACCAGCATCAAAATTTGAGACTCCGAGCAACATGGCATTCAATCAAAAACTTAAAATGAAAAACCAAGTCCAGAGACATGGTGGATCAACTAACCAAATAATTTTTCCTATATATAATACAAACCCAAAATATACTTTAACCAAGATACGAAAACCAAGAGAACCAACAAACTAGACTAGGACAGCCTAATATGATATTCCAAGAAGCTAATAAGTTGTTCAATCATATAGAGGCATATTTCTACTCCAATATAATACTATATAGTACCTCAAAGTGACTCAGGCAACCATTTTCATCTTCAATTGCCTGATCAAGAGTCTGTTTAACCTCATGGAAAAGACAATTCAATGCCTTTGCAGACACTGGCTGACCGGATTTTCCTAATGACATGCGTTCCCTTATACTCAGGATATGTGGGCTGCTTAAAGAAAAATTAAGCTTGTTTTCACTAAAACGATAAGAGAAAAAGAGAAACAAGAACAGTGAAGATATATATATAAAATCTTTCAATATTTTGCTTGAATATATCAAATCCAACAGTACCTAGTATAACAACCAACTGAATACCCTTCTGCACGAAGAATATTTGAAACAAAAGCAGCAGTAGATCCTTTTCCCTTTGTCCCGGCAATATGCACTGCCTATAATTTCATTCAAAAATGATTTTCTTTAAATCCAAGATAGTTAAAAATCGACATCTAAATCTCAAATAATGGTAAGCTTCTTATATATAACCGAAGAATTATCTGCACTTTCTCGGCAACCAAACAAAGAAAGCACAAACCTTGAACTTGGACTGCGGGTTGCCCAGACGGTCCATGAGGCGCCTCATCCGACCCAGATCGAACCCTTCGTCGGAATCCGTACCCGCCCCCTTTGGCACACCGGATTTCTCGTAGTTCTTCAGGGATTCCATGTACTCCATAAAGTCTCTCATATCCGGTTCTTCCGTGTATGTAGATATGCACCTTTTCGACACTAACATTCTCGTGATATCTCCTCTATGGACTGGAGAAAGAAAGGGTTTGTTGCTGAAATTTCTGGGGAGCTGAATCAGTGGCTTTAGCGCTCTCATCTGGGCTTTCCGTTTGTTTCTCAGGAAAGAGACGAGAGAAAATCTTATGGATCCTCAAAACCGCCATGCATGGCGCAACGGCGTCGTTTCGTGTTGGCTTTTGTCTCCTTATGGTGACGTGGCAGCATCCAAATGGTTAGAATATTCGCACGTGGCAAAGAAATCTTTTACTGGTCACTCACACGTATGCAAACATTTCAGTTGAAGGGTACCCGGTAAGCCGAAGGGTCTGTCATTCAATATTTCCAGTTCAGTGAAAGAAGCAGAACGATCATGGCTCCTGCGCTAGGGTTTACTGTATATTTTTAACGAGAAATCGTCATATTCTCTTCGTAAGTATTCACTTTGCTGTATTGCTGTTTGTGCTTCTTGTTATATTTGGTTTATACTCTTGTTTGGTTTCCGAGAAAGTACCTGAGAAAGAAATTTTAGTACGTATAGCTTTCTCTCAAACTGAAAAAGACTTCATTTTCTTGGAAATTCTCTACGCTTTCTTGTATTTCCATCTTCTGGTTCTTTTATTTTGCGACATTAAACGTAGTAAGTTCTGGTTTTGAACTTACTGGTACTTGTAGAGTTTGCCTTCTATTTGATTGTGGAAAAGACCAAGCGACATTTCGTTTACAACTTTGTTCCTTTTATGGATTTGACCATGCCAGGATTAGGTTCTTCTGTTAGAAGTTTGAGTTCAACTTCTTTCTTCTTCTACGTTCCTGACCAAATAGTGGATTGCTGGGTTTGTTGCTTCTGGTTTTTAGAACTGGTTAGGTTTTGTAAGACTTTTGAACAAATGGTATCTGCCATCTGCATGAACAGTTGAGAGCAGGGAAAGGTTCTGATGATTTATGGTTTCTAGAACAGGCCTGATCAAAAAAGAATAAATTATTTGAAAGATGTCTTTGGATAGTTGAGAGTCATAATGCATGCTAATTTGGGAAACGTGGAAGATAAAGTTCCGAAAGAGAGAGTTAGTTGCAGGAAAGAGGTTGACAAATGTAAATGTGGTGAATCAGAAGAGAGAATTGAGACAGCCAGAGCAAGGTGCAGCAAACTGGAATTAGAGATTCGGAGGAAGGATATTGAGTATGAAGCACTTGAAACTAAATATAAGGCTTTGAAAGTTGAGAAGGTTGCCATTGAAGATGAACTGAGGGTTTTCAAGCAAAAGATCGATGAGTTGAACAAGAGGTCTTTTTGTGGAGAAGGTAAGGACAAGGTTGATTGTGGTCAAGCAGATAGGAAAACGGAAGGAGTTGTTGATTTGACAGAGGAGGACGAAGAGGAAGATGTTGTCATCCAGCTTATGATGGAGAACAGTGCTCTTGAACTGGAGAAGAAAAGGGCTGAAGATGAGGTTGGGGTTTGGAAGGAAAAGTACAGGAAATTGCACTCTTTTGTCCAGCGGATGGATAGTAATTCAATCCTGGAAGATGGGAAATGGCCCTTAAATGAGAAGATAAAACTGGTTTCAGAGGGGTTGGATTCCAGGACAGGTCTTCTGATGGAATCGAGGAGAAATGGAGCAGGTGAAGCCATGACAATCAGATATGATGTGGAGAAACGAAAGAATTCCCTCCATTTAGGATCTCCATGTGATGTCACAAATGAAGGAATTGAACATCTGCAAATTACAGGTAAAAGTATAGATTAGTATATATGTTTCTTTTCCTGTTATTATTCCCTAACAAGACCAAAGAGTAGTTCTCTTTGTTAGTGATATTCTCGGAGATAAAATGCTTCGTTTCTTGAAAATGTTTATGCTTTATAGGCATCGCTCAATTACATAAGCCTTTGTATAATATGAATTACTTATTCTTAGAGTGGTCTATCGACTTCTCCCCAAAGGGCATAACGTGTCCTTACATCTCTTAACTGTTCTAATGGTTATTGAATATGAAATGCTTTATCCATCTTTTATGTCATTGGTTCTGCAGCAGCATCACCTTACAATGTCACACCCTGTAGGCACTCGTCATCTGTTGAACAAGGAACGAGGGTTGTGCCAAATGAGGAATCTGAGTGGGATCATGGTAGAGAAGTTAGAAGACGTTTGGTATTTGAACAAGAAAGAAGCATTGGCCAAAAAATTGCTCCATCCACTCCTTCCGGTGCTGAACTTACTTCACTCAATGTAATTAATGTTTATGACAGTGATGACGAATCTGATGACGACGCTCCTATACAAGCACCTTCTACCAGTAACCATGAAAATGAAAAGATTCCTACTACAGCTGCTGATATTCAGGAAAAAATGACTCCTGCAATTAGTGAGCAGAGGAATAAGGAGAATGTGAATGGTTTCAAGGATGACATCCCATTTCTTTTAGCACGTAAAAGGAAACTAGGCTGTAATATCATTACAAGTGACACAGAGAGTGATGATGATGGTAACATCCTAGTACATAAATTCAAGAGGTTGCATCTGCTGGAAAAAAACTCTTGATGAAGCAAGTTCTGATTTAAAAAGCTTCTGAGTGACATCCTCTCCTTCTAGAGATGATGCTATCTCAAGGAAACCGCCAAGATGGTGCCTAGTTGAAGTCAAAGACAGGGCAGAGAAATGCTCTTCCAGTAATCCAAATCAAACTGAATCTCATCAACGAATCCCAGCAACTGATAAGTTTCAAGAACCTGAAGAGGATGAATCAGAGAGTGAGGGTAACAGCTTGGGTGGATTTATTGTTCATAGGTCTGATGAGTCCACTGGTGATGATGCTTTTCGCAAATCGCAAATCAATGGAGGAGTTCCAGCAGTGTGATCCAGGTGCTTCCGAAATCTGCAAAAAGCTAGCAACTTGCTACTCGAAACAGTTGTTCGAAATCTACAAGAACGAGGAGGAGGATCCTCACTTCCTTCCTTCCTTCCTTCTTCACTTGGAGTTCATGGTGTCAATCCCAGAGAATGGTCTTTTTGTTGTTTCTCCATTCTCATTTTAAATGGGGTAAAAATGGAAAACTCATTTTTGTGCAAGAGAATATGGTGCTTCTGTAAATATTTTCTAATATTTTATTATAGTAAATGAATTCTGCATGTGCACGGGTATATGTATATACACGGTGGGTGTGAGGTTATAATGATGAAATATTATAACAATGACAATGAACGTACCAACTGGTTAAACGAATCCAGAAAAGAAATCCCTCCCTGAAAAAAGAACATCATCGCCATGATAGTCAACAATCATCATTTACTTAAAATACACACAATAGAATATTCCATGTACATAAGAAAAGCTCTGGCAAAATTTCAGCCACCAGGCTTGCACACCTTCAAATACAGGTTGTAAAACCAATGCATATACATACATACATGCACATGTATGTCCATACGCAATAATACATAATAAGTTATATAGAGGCAATACATCATCATTTCGTATTACTTTTTGTGCATATGTATGTACGTGTAGATGTATGTATGTATGTATGTACGTGTGGATGTACGAATGTGTGTGCATGCGTATTAATGCTAATTCTCTGTTCTCCTTCGGTTATAAAACGGTCTGCCATTGTTGAGACGCATTAACCATCTCTCTTGCCTCTTCTCTCGCTCAACGTAGCCTTTAAACTCTCCTCCATCTTCTCCCTCTTTCCATCTCTCTCTCTCTCTCTCGCGATTTCCTTTCTCTTTCTCTCTGAGAATCGGTCCAGAGAGAAAGAGAAAGACGGCATTTCAGGCTCAACCAAGACAGAGAAAGAGATCAAAGAATTAATTGATTCAACATAACAATATCGATGGCGGTTTCAAGGGTTTCTTTTGAGGTTTTCGCCATCATCGCCATCGTTTACTCCGTCTTCTTCCCTTTGGTTCACGGACAATCCATGGCAGCTCCTGCTCCTGCACCCGCAAACGACGGTAAGCCCTCTATTACTCTGTTACATATATATATATATAATATGTAAAAATTAACAAATCTTATTTTTCTCTAAATTTTTATATATTATCTCTTAATTTTTCCTCCATTTAAATGTTAATTTCTTCAGATTGAAGAATAATTTTAATGGAAATTACTTGTTTTCTAATTCTGTTTTCATTAATTTTGCAGGCACAACAATAGATCAAGGGATAGCTTATATCCTAATGTTGGTGGCTTTGGCGCTCACGTATCTCATCCATTAACATTCAACAGCACAAGACACAAAAACCCACCCAGTTCATGTCTCAATTGTTAATCGTGGTAATTAGGGGAAGCGAAAAAGGTTCTTCTGTAACTTAAGGGGGAAGGAAGAGGAGGAGGAGTGATGAACTCGTTGTTGTTGAAATGGAGGAGATGATATTTTCATTGAATTGTATTTTGATTTTATTCTCCATTTTTTTCAATCTCTATTTCGGTTTTTGGTTTGTGGGTATCATTGATTTTGCTTATAATTTCACAGCTTCTTTTTTTTTTTAATAAAATAATCAGAAAAATGCATAACCTAATACGAACATGAAACTAACCCTAAATTAAAATGTTATATAATTAAATTTAAATTTCTATTCTACATTTAATGGTTTATATTTTTCGTTTCATAAAATTAAAGTTCAAAGCAATGGTTGGAGTGCGTGTTACGTTCTACGAATGTACATGTTTTGATTGTGTGTGTGCGAATTCTTCTGTGATAGTGAGAATCATGATCTCATAATAGTACTAATTAGATAATAAATACATCCGTTCAAGTTTTAAAAAAAAAATTTAAAATTTTAATAACTTCAATGTAATAATTGTGTTGAGGTAAATAAAAAATCAGAGATAATCGCTGAAGAGTTATAGATATGTCAGTTTGAACAAAAATTTGCAGAAAATTCTGGTACGTGTATTTGAGAGGGAAACCCGAAGTTCTATTTCTATTTTCTACCTCCTTAAAAAAATAAAAAGTGTAGAAATTTAGAAGTTTTTTTTCCAAGCAAAATCTTCTATACATGTCTTATAAATTAAAAAGCATAGCTTTAATTTAAAACAATTAGACATATTGTTATGGAAAAAGAATGCCAATAGAAGAGAAAAGCTCCTGGCAATTATTTGGTTCCTGCTAGCAAATTCCCTAAGTGTGAAGTGTAGAGTTCAAGCAACATGCAAGAAGAAAGACTACCAATTCTGGTCAAGGATGAAGATGGGAATTTGTAAAACTGAGACTAAACTCAGCAAAAAATTGATTATCGAGTCAAAATTCGATCCCGCTCAACCTAGGCGGAATATTACATGCAGATCAAAATTGTTGAGGAAAAAGAACATTTTTCAGACCTTCGTGCAGCCGACTGCCAATTATTATCTCCAAGCTAACGTATCAACAACAAAGGTCGACTAGCGCTTCTTCCTAGCACCTAAGTATTTGCTCTTATGCCTGGTCAGTAAACATTGAATAACAGGTGGATAGGGCCGAAAAAAAACTGCACGTTAGGTGACTCTGTCATGAAGTTCCGTATTGCCGATGTAGGACATACTTCACAACTTCGTAAAATGAAACAACAATCCCAACCGAAGGACCTGCTCTCGCAACTCTAGGACCGACTCCTGTAAATAGTCCCTTCATCCCTCCATCCCTGTTCCAAGCAAAATTAAACGGAGTGTCAATGCCTAGACAAAAACTTATCCACCAAGTTTTACGGACACAATAGAGGTAGCAACAAGAGAATCCTATGCCAATGTGATTCACCCAAAATCAGGCAAAAAAAGATAAGAAAAGCATGTCATCTACTCTATTATTGCTTCATAAAATGTTGACTTATCATTGGTACAAGATTTCCGGGCCAATATATCATATATTCCAGTGAAGGGAACAAAATAATCGATAAGTCACCATTAACCTTTTCATATTTTTTTGGTTTGATTGCTGATATTGGGTAACCAAGAAGATTTTGATAAAAACTTTTATCTTGTAAATCATAAAACCTATTTTACATCGACAACACCCCCTTCGGTGCTCTTCCTAGCGATCCTTTTACTGATAACACTAAAAGGAAGACCATTAACCATTTATTTATAAGTTAAATTTTTTCTCTTCTTAGGCAAAGACCAAAAGGCAATACAAGAGAGCTCAAACAGAAGTGCTAGTATTTCTATCATCTATGAACAATGAGATAAAAATTTAAAGCCTATATAAGTACTGAAGGAAGACTTATACCTCCAAATCTCCATCAGTGTTGTCTGTGTCGTCATCCTCAATGCTCTAGCAGGATCTTTCTGTAATTAAACGAACAACAGAATATGAGAAAACAAGCATGACAAAGCAACATTGCATTAATCTAACAATATGTTTGGAATGAAGAGAGTGAGGGAAAAGGAAAAGAAAGGAGGTACAATCATTTACTTCACTTTTCCCAAATAGGGGACAAAGAAGGTGAAAGGAAGATTTAGAAATCTTAAACAAAAAATGTCCATCATGTATCTACATTATAATTTTGTTAATGAATGGTAATAACAAAAAATGTCCATTCCTTCTCATTTCCTCTAAAAATCCTCGTTTCTTTTCCTGTACTTCAACTATTTTCCTTTCAAACATAATGTAAAACTCTAGTTCCTGAGAAGTGGGAATACAGTTACATGAGATCAAAATCCCATAGATTTTCCTCTGTTATAAAAAAATAAAGTATATTCCACTATGGCATAAGATTAGTATCTTAGTTTATTGTCTTCTCGTAAGTTAACTTAAAAAAATGTAACCTTCTGCACAAAAAAATGAAAAAAGTAAATAATATCTACTATCCTTGGAGATACCAACACTAGTTGGTGGTTAACATTCCACTAAGTGAAAATAATTGGTAATATGCTTCTAAGAAAAAACAAACCTCTATCTGCCTTCGGGTTTTTGCAACATCTAGGGGACAGGTAAAACCACCAGCCAGACTTCCAGCAACAAAACCAGCTGAAAAATTAGCGGCAAGGACACTGACAACATTAGATTCCTCGCTGACAAGTCCAAGAAGTCTTCTTCTCATCTGCCCAAGGAGATAGCAATCATCATTTAAAAATATGCAATGTGTTGCATATGTGCCATTTTATAGTGACAACGGATGGGAAAAATGTAATAGTAATCTAGAGAAGAAAGTAACATTTTAAATAGTAGGAGCTCACAGGTTCAAGGGTTGACCAACAGATTGCCGAAAATGGAACATCACGTGCAAGCTGTGCTCCCATGCCTGTCCATAAAACGCGGTAGCCTTGCACTGTAATAGAAAAACAGTGCCAATCAAAATCTGATAGGAAAACTCGAACATCGTAACCGACATGACAGGACTGATGCATATTCAATGGTCATATTTCCTTATTCATACATACTAGAATTTCTTTCCTTTCTCAAAATTATCCGGCTTTTATTTTTTGGATACTGAGTGAAGGAACAATTGCAGCCATATATATATATATATATATATATATATATATATATATATTTTAAATAAACAACCGACAATTAGTAAATTTTTAAATACATATAGTTATGCCATATATGCTTAAGCCTCCGTTAAAATCTCCTGTCACGGGCCTTCACAATGCAAGAGGAAGTTCTTAAATAGGAAAATACATGGCTAGGCTACAAATGAAGATATCAAGAAGAATCATCTTACAACTGTTTTGAAGATTAGTTTCACCCTTGACATGAGACAGAACTCCAAGCAGAGTCTTCAGAACACCAGGAGGCTTCTTAGCAATTTGTGTCTCTTTAAATGCCTATCGCCAAACAACAATGTAGACTATAAGAAAATAAAAACCACCATCTGCATACAACATAAGTCTAAGGAGACACCGGCAAATGTAGAAGCCTATTTATATATATATATATAAAGAGAGAGACACACACACAGCAGTGTAGATTTCTGCTTAAGGCCAACATTTTTTTAAAATAAAAGAAGATTAGTATTAAAAGGTACCAAAGGGGAACCGCCATCTGCTTAAGGCTAACATACATAGAATATATAATTGAGGAAATGGAATTTTGTAAAATCCAGCTGCCTAATATTTTCTAGCGAAAAATGAACAGTAATGTGATCATCGGGGAAATTCAGAGTCTGCTTCTGATGCAAAACATTAAAAAAATACATAAATCAATAACCATTTTACCTGCATGCGTGTTCTAGCAAGTTCAATAGGGTAGCAAGTTGTGCAAGCTAAAGACCGTGCCAATGCACCTGCAACTAAGGGAGCATATGGTGTGGCACTCGGTGCAAGCTGGCCAGTAAGCTCCTCTAACCAGTTGCGGAATATATCATAGCAAGGTAGATAGATCCCCACCTGTACAGTAAGCATTTGCATTCATCAGCTAAAACTTAATCAACATAGACCTCTCAATAATCAGGAACGTTTTCCCTATGGTATAAGATTTTTCCTACTAATTGAAAATACTTACTGTTGGTACAGCAAGTGCTAAGCCTGCATTGGTTCCTCTCCATAGCCTTGAAATTCCTTCCTGGAGAAACTCTCCGTTAGACAGAGGAAAGAGAATGCAGTGTACATCACATGCAAAAGGTAAGCATCTTCTCCACTAGATATACTGAAATGATTCTTTCACGCCATTGAGCACCAGCATTTGTCACAGAAGACCAAGTACAATGTTATCATTTAAGTACCAAGATAAAATTTCTCACCCAAAGTCATATTCAAATATTTCCAAATCTTCACTCAAACTTTCTACATGAGATATAGGTGACAATATGAACACCACTGACCTGTCGTATGATTTTGTAGAAGACATCTAATGTTCCTTTGTAATGAAAACAATCAGGGGGGCACATTGATACAGTACCATGAACTCCAGCACGTGTACACGACGGAGAACACCTTAGATCAGCAAACATCTGAACCAACATATTGCAACATATCAATGCAGAACAGTGTATCATAAAGCATAAAATAGCCTGCCACATGGACTGACATCAGCTTATAACATATTTAAAGAACCAAGAAAAATCGCAGTAAAGAAGAGTAATAGGCATGTATACCATATTTGGACCGAAGTACGCCATACGACCAACTAGATTACTCAGCGGATGTGAATAAAGAACTCCAGCAGCCTGTGCTTGCAACCTTGTCTAAAAATGCAACAGAAAAAATCAAACACAACAGGACTCCAAGGAATAAACCAATCTTAACATTTATTCTACTAAACAAACAATCAAGACAATAACTATAATCGATGCATCACAAGAATTCAGTAAATAAGGTGATGAATGATTTTCCTACTCCACATATAGACATGGATAGAAATACCATTCGATCTCGATACCCAACCCCTAACCAACCAAACACATCAAATAGCTAGATAAATCGAATTTGCAATAACGTTGAAATTGAAAAGAGATTATTCCATTTATTTCCGTAGATGGATTTAGAACAGTAACCGGAAATGTAAGGGAAATCTACAGACAACATTAATAATGTGAATAGAAAATTGTACTAAATAGGGAACTCTCTCATGAACCAGCATGTTTCTTGTTCGTTGCAAAACCTAGTGAAGAACAGCTAGCATATTATAAGATGAAACACAAACGCATAATCATAAAAGGAAATGAAACACCACTGTATCTGATACTAATTAATTTTCTCACGCTTTCTCGTAAACCAAGCAGAAAATTAGAATAACCGGAACAACAAAAAAAGAAGCAAAAGGAGGATTACCTTTACAACATCAAGAGGATTCACAATAACAGCTGACAAAATGGCAGCGCCGGCGGCCGAGAAAGCTCTCTCCGCCAACCCTAAATTCCCATCGGTTTTGTTACAAGGAGGCTGCGAAGCACTAATTCCGGTTCCGTCTCTATCGTTTCTTATCGGCTCGGCGACTAATAAATCCCCTCCGTTGATTCCTACTCCTGACGAAGACTGCTCTGAACCCATCCATGCACTCCTCGTGCGCTCTGTTTCCGCCATATCCACAACCCTCTTACTCTGTCTATAATTGAAAAAATTCGATGCACCGAAGAGGGATCGATCAGTTTATACTTATCAAAACATAGTTTCTTCAGAATCAACTTTCTCCTTTAATTTTTGTAATTTTTTGGAAATAAAATATTTTTTTTTCCTGGTTCCGTGGTGCACAGGAAATAGAAGTACAGAAAATTACGAACCTCTATTGCCACACTAAAACGGCGACGCACATAAAACCCTCCAAGCTGGAGGCCACGTTTGGCGACTCGATTAAAAACGACTTCTCCAATTGTAAATCTGAAAGGGCTTTTCTAAACGCATAAAAAATTATTAATTGATAATAAATTAATAATAACCAACAAAATTTGTGGAAGAATAGTTTTTATTTTTCTACTTCTTTTAATTGAGAAAATTTTATTATTTTTGGATGCTTAATTGATAGAGTTAAAAAAAAAAAAAACACTTACTAAGTGAAGCACTTATGGGGAAAAAGCACTTACTCAGTAGTGGTAAGACAACGGCTGAAGAATGGAGCGAATGAAGCAGTAGTGCCCAAAAGCACTTACCGATTATTTTTGAGGAAGCAAACGAGGTCTTAGAAGACTTGCCGTTACCGTTTTCTAGAGGTTTCTATTCATGCCAGTAAGAAAGCGCGCCTCACGGTGCCTAGCGGAATTAACGGCGGAACGAACGTATAAACGAGGAGCTCGACTAGGGTTTTTAATTTTTTTTTAAAGGTAATATTTGAATTTATAAATTTAATTATCAGAGAATGTAAAATATTTTTGTAAATTAAAATATATATTTTTTAATTAATAATATTTTAATTTTGAATTTATTTAAAATATCACTAAAAATTACCAAAGACGCTTTAAAATTATTATTTTTTTACTAAAAAACGTGTGACTATAAATTGCATTTAATAAAAATTAATTGTAGTATTTAATATTTTTTAATAGAATATCATAATATTGATATGCAAATATAAATTATATTAATTAAAATAATTTTTAAAAATTTAATATATATTATACATTAAAATTAATCTCTTTATTTTTAGTTATTATACTTTTAAAAATTGTGCATATTAATATATCTCTTTATTTCTATTAGTAATGTTAACATCTTGTCGCCAACTCTAACATGTAATATTATTTTATTGAATATTTTTTGTATTATACTTTAAATGAAATTTACTGTATAAAATTTATTTATTTTTTAAATATTTTGAAAAAATTTTTGAAATATGAAATAAATAAATAAAATCCTTCCTAATATATCTCGTTGATCCCATGGTTAAATCTTTGACCCATCTTTTTAGTATTCGCGTCTCGTGTTTTACATATTTCAGTGTCAATTTTGATCAAATCATGCATTATTTTTTAAAATTATAATATATCAACATTATTTAATCGTAAGTGGTATGGAGAAAATCCGATAATTGATTAAATAAATTTCTTAGTTTTTATAAGATTTTCTCAGCTACCAAATATAACTCGTGAAAAATATTTAGCAGGTATGAAATGAAATTATTGGGAGGGTAGAATGAGTAGTCTTAATTTTATTCGGCATCCTCTCAGCATTAATATGATTAAGAGCTATACTCATAATCTTAATTAATACTTGATCCTCGTTTATTTAAAGCACGATTATCTTGTTATTAAACTTCAAATTCCATGCTGCCATAATCACAACATACCCAAGTCTTGATGTGAGTGGGGAGTGTTGGAGATATAAGTGTTATGCCAACGATCTAATTATTTGTGTAACATATTGAATACATTATTATTTGACAATTTATTTTAATATATGATAATAGTATTTTATTATCATATTATTTTATTTATGTGATAAACTCCTTAATTAAATTTATAAATTTTATATCAAGATGAATATATTAATAATGAGAGTAAAATCTTTTATGATTTAATTTAAAATATTATTAGTCGTTGGATTATCAAAATAAGACATTAATGATCCGGTAGAACTAATATATATGTGATAGTCTCTATAAGATAAATATTAGTTGATCTCATTAACTAAATTAACTAAATCGCATATATAAATTATGCATATGGAGATATGATCATTGAACCAACCTAATTGATAATTTCTAATAGTTAATATTACCTTAAATTGTCAATATAATATTATCTTATTTTGATGAGATGTAATAATTTTCTTAAACATGAGATAATCATAGTAATTGATAAGTCATTTACTATATTTTGATTTTAAACACCTATAATCATATAATTAGTTAAAAATATATTGAGGGTAATTAAATAATTATAGAACTAATGATTGATCAATACGAAATATGTCAATTTGGGTAATAAATTTAAGTTATATGTTGTCATTTATTATAATGACTAAATTAATATATTGGGCAGAACAGTTAAATGAATGAAAAAAATAGTTTATTTATCATTCATTAGTCAATTATAATTGATATAAAACATAATTAGTTATCTATTAGAATTTAACAGTTAAACCATATCTTATAATTAATCCGGAGCAATAATAATAGAATGAAGTATTATATATATTTTTTAGCAAGTTATTGAGAATAATTGTACATTTCATACTATTTGGTCATTGAGGA